TTACTTAAAGAACAGTTACACAAATTGGAAAAAAGATTTAATGAATTACTAAATGTTTCAACAATAACAACAGCAACATTACCATCATCACCATTGATTTCAAATGAGCCTAAAGATATAATAATTGAGCAAGAAACAACAATAAAAGATAATGAGCAAGGTGTTAATAATAATCCTGATGAAATTGAAGCAATAAATTATTCCGATTCTTCCTCAACTTTAAATCTTATTAAGCAAAATAACCCAAAAATTGTCCATTTGTCAACTGATGAGTTAGAAAATATTACTATCATTTCTGCAATATTGGGAGCCTCTGTGGGTATACTACTTAGCCTAGCATTTAATGAAATATTTAGAAGATGATTAATTAATTTTTTTATGTATTATAATATGTCTATATAATATATATATATATATATATATATATAATATTTACTTTACACATTGAAATTTATTAATTTATTAGAGAAAAGGCAAAAAAATAAAAAAATTTTTTTTTTGTTAATCACACTTTAATCCATGTCTTTTTTTAATCAAATCGAGATTTGCTTTCAAGTGAGAAGGAACTTCTTTCTCAATCCATTCCCACTGCCAAGTTGTCCTTCCATGTGTATACTGAATTTTGTTTGCTCTAACATATGGATTGTTCCTAGTTTTATCCTCAACGATGCTCCACATTTTCTGTCGTTGATAAATATTTGTTATGTGACCTAGCAATGGATCTCTTAAATCTAATGATTTTACAATTCGATTTTCTTTTAATTTTCGAATCACTATCTTTGAAGCTTTATCAATATCTGATTTTTGAGACCATCGATTTATAGTACCATGCAAAGACATAATTATAATAACAATTAATATCAAAGCACCTATTAATTAAAAAATAATTAGTAAACATGTAGTTATTTCAATCTTATTTTATGCATAAAAATAGCTCACCAATTATATTATATATATTTTGTTTAAACCAAGTTTTAGTATATTCTACTAGATGTGTAAATGAAACCTTTAAATAACATTTGATTGAATATTTGGGATTGTTAGAGATAATGTGAATCTGGTTTTGTAGTTCTTGGTTAGAAATACTATATGAAATCATTGTATTAAGATGATAAACATATTAATTTAATTTTAATATATAATAAAAAAAACATTAACAAACAGAAGATACTTACGATGATGGCAATAGTTTTTCATAAATTTCAACATCATTATCATCCTTTAAATCATTCACTGCAAGTTCAAAATATTTATCAAAATCTTCTTGAGAATATTTCGTCTTTATCATTATATAAAATAATATTATTATTATTGTTTAAAAAAATAACAGTAAATAATAAAAAATATAGAACAAAACCTACGAATTTCTTTCTAAGCAGCATTTTCAAGCTGTCAACATGAAGTAATTCGTCATCATCATCATTATCAACTAATTTACATTTAAATTTTCCAGTTTCTTGTGCGATTATATTTTTCAATGATTTTATATATTTTGATGTTATCTTCATTTCTTCATTGTCAATTACACATTCGTATTTTAATGGATTATTTGATATACGAATTGGTTTTAATCCTGGATAACATGTAATAAATCTTCCATTTGAACAATGTGCATTGTTTGGACAAGCAATACAAATTTTATTATTAATCATAGATCCTATGATTTAATAATAAATAAATTAAATCAAATTAATGATATATTAATTGCTATTAATGAATCTACTACTCTTTACCATTAGTTGCGATTATTTCTTCGTTACAAAAGATATATTTGTTAGCTGGAGAATATATAACATAGAAATAAAATGAAACAATTGAGACAAGTATGTATGATATTATTGTAAAAGAATATTTTGGATACATTGTAAAGGTTCTTTTGATCAAATTTTATTATTATGATTTTGATGATCAACTATACACGAACCAAAATTAAAGACGGACGGTCACCTGGGACAATTTTAATTGGCCAATAATATCGCACGCATAAAAGGTGCTCGCTCTAGTTTTTTTTGCAAAAAAAAATTTTTATAAATTTCTATTTCTAATTAATTTATTCATATATATACTCCATATCTTTTTCTCAATGAATCCAAGATAGTATATGCTCTATTAATGAGCAATATAGTGATTGATCGTTAAATAAGGACAAGATTTTTGATAATTTTACAGCAACGCCTTCTCTTTTACCCATCATCACAGATGCAAAAGGCCATTAATTTTCTAAAAATCGTTAATTAATTTAATCAATTTAATAAATATAATAATTTTTAAAAATATATTATTTAACGATAAAAAACATCTCAAATAAACCAATTAATAATGATGAAATAGTATATGTGTCACCACGGGCAGAAGTCATGGTTTTATTTTAACGTAAGCAGCATAAATATCTAAATGTTTTGTCACTTGTATATCAGTTGATCCATCAATCATTATACCAAATACTGACACTTTACGAGTTTATTCCATAATTGTTCTTCAAGAGCTTTGAAATAGCTATTAACATTTCATGACCTGAAACTTCAGTATCAATTGCACCTAATTGAGTACACGAGATGGAGGTTTTCTTAGAGGAAAGTCATGTTTTGATAAATCTTCATGACAGAAATTATTTTTATCATGAAAATATTTTCATATTTTTGAAATTTCCAATTTTTCTGCCTCAACAATAATCCATTTACCTTTTTGTGGAATATTTTTTTTCTTTTATGAGTAAGACATGTTTTACAGGATATTTTCACTTAGAATTGGAATCATAAGTTAATCATTTTAACCAATTTGAATTAAAATTCTTTTTATGGGTTTCATTTTTCAAATCAAGATCAGAAGAATCATCATAATTATAAAATAATAAAACAACACATATATAGTTGAAACAAATCTTTTAAATTGATTGATTATATAGAATATACCTTTGTTTATTATAATATTTTCAAAGAAAATTGCGACTTTTGGAGTTTTTAATAATGATTAATTTATTTCGAAAAGTGGCCGCACAGATGCTTTTGGTTCAACAGGGTCGACTATGTAATAATATAATATTTGTAAGTATGTTTATAAAATGATCGAGGTATTATTAAAATTATATTCCAATATTTTAAACATCTTGAAAATTTTCCATTAAGTTAATTATTAAAATTTATATGCTTACAATATTTTATCTCCCATCATATTAATATAACTATATAGTGAATTACTAGATCCTATGTTGATATAATATATATATATATTGAGATTTGTGAGCCAAATTCATAATTTGACATTATATGTAGTGTTGGTTTCCAAAATTATAGAGTTTTGCAACTGTGCAAAATCAAAAGGTTTTGCCACAAATTGAACATATTCAAAATAGGTTTGGCGACCTACACTAATTGTACGTGGTGTAAAAAATACGCTCAATTATTGAACTGCTTATTGGGTTTTATATAAATAAAATAAATTATAATAATAATAATAATAAATAGATTAAAAATTAAAATACACGCTCGTCGCATTTATAATTTTGGTTTCTAGTATACTGTAGTTTTTATCATTGTGAAGAACGAAAGAGGCCAGGACAAAACTTATAAATAATAAGTGGTCAACTAACTAGTTGGTTAATTGGTGCTTCGCACATAAGAGTAGGGGCAAAAAAACCGGTTTGTAAGAAAACATTTCCCAATTAAATAATTTAATAAAATAAAATAATTCTTTTTCGCTTAATTAAACGTTAGGGTTTAATTGTTTATCTGTTATCAGAGTGGTATAGAACCCTGGGGTTTGTTAATATAGTAGTAGTAAGGTTTTGGCAAAGGTTTACGTTTCTGTTTACGTTTTTGTAAAAGTTAAGTGTAAACGTAAGGTGTTATTTTACTTCTACATCTTTAAGGGTAGAGTGTACATAACACAATTTTACTATGATACATTAAATGTGATTTTTTTGACCACCAATCATTAAAAATATTAGTGTAGTCATAATCAATGTTGCCCGTGTCCACCACTTTAAATGTCCCAGACATTCCCAGGCAAAAATATGAATTTTGCTTGTAAATAATACGAGGGTAGCTTTTTAGTCAACCTTAGTTATTGGATGAGTTTTGGGTTAGCCTTTTAGTTAACTTGTCAATTAATTTATTTATTTTACAAAATTATCCTGCTTGTTACCTCTTTCTTGTACCTACCTAGAATATACATGAAGTTGAAATATTTCGACCTGAAATGTCAAAAGTCAAATTAAAAAGTCGAAATGGTCGAAATTACAGGCTGAACATACAGAAAATTAATCAAAAGCTCCAAATTCTCATAACTCGGTCAATATCAGACTGTTCTGAATAAAACAACTACCATTTGAATTCTCTTGATGAAGTGAGTCTAATGAGATGTAATTCACAAAATCCGAATAACTGATTATTGAGATATTTTGGTTTACTGTATATATTAAAACAAATCTCCATTTATTGATGCTACCATTGTTTGAATCGTCTTTATGAGACTATTCTAACGAGATAAATAAATTTGAAATTATTAATTATAATAAATCGTGTGATATATCGAAATGGACAATATCGATTTCGACCATTTCGACTTCATATATAGTAACTATTATAGGGTAGTTACCATTATAAAATATTTACGGGCTGCCGCAAATTACTGTCATTAGTATATTAGTCTTGCGAAAATTTTCTTGTCTGCAGTAACTGAATAGTCAGTCAGTAAGATTTGTTCTTTGTGCGATTGGTGGATTGATGATGAGTATGCAAGGACGTATGTCTGGTATTTTGCATTTGATTTTCTCATAGACTCACTGTAATCGTAATGTAAACATCACTAGAATATTTTCTTGTCAATAAACTACCATTTAAAAGAGAAATTAGGGTTAATGAATAACTTTCCATTGGGGGATGTGAGGTTTTGCGGTGCCACGGCTGTATAGAATAAACAAAGTCTCATGTGAAATGATGGCTGTATTAGTATTAGTATGTATGTATTCGTGAATAAAAAATTTTTTTAAAAAAATCTGAATGTTTTCATATAATCTCAACAGGATTAGTATCAATACAAAAAAATTAATTACAAGATGTTTATCATCAATTCAAAACAACAATACAGCTACTACTTCCTTTAATAAATTTTTTAAAACACATCAATTCATTGTTGGTAAAGATGAAGCTGATATGAGACTCGATCATTTTCTTCATTACCAAACTGGCTTACCAACCTCTGTCATTCAAAAAAAAATAAGAAAAAACGAAGTATAATTTATTAGATTTATTTATTTTTTTCTGGGGAAGATGACTTTATGATTAATTTCTGTTTTTTTCCTATAGGTTAAATTAAATGTCAATAATTCAAATGATGATGATGATAGTAATGTTATTTTGGTTGATGATTTTTCTATAAATAATGATAATGAATTGATAATTGAAAATCAATCAATTGTCAAAACTACAACAAAGAAAAAAGATAAGTCAATTCCAAAACATGCTCTTAAAGTTAAGATTGGTGACATTGTTACAATAAGAAGCCCTGACTTGTATCAGGCAAACAAATATACTAGACCAACCAGAAAACCTAAAGAGGTATTTTTTTATTTAATCCAATCTTTTAATTCAATATTTAATGATTTATTTATTTAACAGTCTTTTAGTGATTTTGACATTAAAAGGATCAGATCAATGATTTTATATCAAGATGATGAAATTATGGTTGTAAATAAACCTTCTGGCATTGCAACTCAAGGTATCTCATCTACATATATTTATTAAGGATTAGTTTGAAATTTTACTGATTCTTTTATTATAAATGTCAATTTTTAGGTGGACCCAAAATAAGAAATCATATAGATGGGCTATTAAATGGTATTTTTAATATCAAATGGATTTTTTTGTTCTTTTAAAAAAAATTTTTTATTAAAATGATTTTTTTCCTTCATTAATAAAAATGTTAATATTAGTATTGCAATTTGAACACCCTGAGCCTCCTCGTTTGGTTCATAGGTTAGACAAGGTGTTTGAATCATTCTTAATAAATTTCATCACTTAAAAAAATATATATTCATATATTATATATATTTATATTTATACTTACTTGATAATTAGAATACAACTGGTGCATTGATTCTTGGTAGAACAAGATCTGCTGCTGGAAAATTATCATTCATGTTTCGTGAAAGTACCATAGAGAAGATTGTAAGTATTTATTTTTGGCAAGGATGATAAAAATTAAATTATAATATTATATATATAATCATTTATTTATTTTAGTATACAGCAATTGTTACAAAATTTCTACCACGTGATTTATTTAAAAAAAAAATAGAAGCTCCAATTGTTTATGGTGGTAAACCTCCTTTTGAAAAAGTTCTTTGTATTACAGGTAAATAATCTAATAAATATAACATAATATCTATATTTATAATAATATATATATATATATATATATATATATATTGATTGTTGATAGATGAGTCCTCACCATTATTGGAAAAATCAAGACCCTCATTCACAGAATATCAGGTTTTGGCTGGTATAGGAAATCATTCTTTACTTAGATTGTTTCCACAAACTGGTAGAAAACATCAACTAAGAGTCCATTGTGCTTCTATATTAACTGGTAAATAAATAAACATATATCTGATATTTATAAAGTTTATAAATAAAACTAAATATTCCATGAATCTATATTTATATTTATTTCTAGCACCAATTTTGGGTGATTCAAAATATGGCTATATTTCTAAAAGTCACCATGATAAAAAAGATGATGATGAAAAATCTGGACCAATGTATTTACATTTAAGCAAAGTAATAATTAGGGTAAGAAAATTATTAAATATTTATAAAATTATAATAAATTTATTTATTATTTAATTTTATTCCAATTTATAGAATTGGAGAACATCAGAGGGTAAAATACTTTCTAAACCAATAGAAGTGTTTTGTCCATTACCCAATTATTTCAACAAAAAATGCGAAGATTTATTTTCTTTTTCTGGTGATTATTTTGATCAAGATCATTACTAATAAATAATATTATTTGGATAAGATTGAAATAACTACATGGAAAAAAACCAATACAGTTCACTCTCTCTATAACAGATCATTGGGATTAGAAAAATATTTGTCATAGAAAGAATCTGTTTAGACAGTTATATAGGTCATATGAAATGGTTTTCAGATGCAATTAGCAATGGAATACAAATATTTTTATAACAATATAACAGTCATATGCAGTGTTGTGCCATTCATGGATCCAATAATTTCCATTAGAGCATTCTAACAAATTTCAATTGGAATTGGAATGTTCCAGATGTGGTTCCAATGAAATTAACCAATGAAATTCAATTACAATGTTCCAACTATATACACAATGCTGGTCATATGTGGCACAAAATGTAAAAATGGAAAGATAATTATTTCACTTTCATCATCAACCAAATATCTCCATCTCCAAATTACCACTATTTATATTATCATTTGTAACTTGTCATTCAAATATAATCGTGTAGTTATCCACAAAATTTTAAAATATTCTAACTCACAGAAAAGATATCTGAATTAGCAGTTCATAAATCAATTCATATATATTGTTTAAATGCATAGCTTGCTTAATATTAATAAACATGATTAATTCAATTTTTTCTTAATGTAATGCCAGTCATTTGATTTTTAATACAATCTTGTTGTTTTAATAAGTATTGTGAGATTGAATCCACATCTCACAGCGAATCTCAATATTTTATTTATTTAAATGCCAACAGTGTTAATACAATTTCTTCCAATTCGTTTGGAGCGACTTGACGTCGCATTTAAATTCCTTTGTTTAATTAAATCTAAGAATTAAAAGTCTGCTTTTATTGATTTCCCGTGATATGTAAAATTACTATTTTACAGTATTAATCACATCAAAACCTTTTAAAAATCAAATGACTGTCATACATTAAGAAAAATCGAATCAGTTATGTAAAAATTGAATGATTAATGCCACCATTAAGAAAAAGCGTCAAATGATTAAACTAATGAATGATTCCTAAAATAAGATTAGTTATGAACATAACTTACTAAAATAACTTGTTATTTATTAATTCAGAAACATTATATTAATATTAAGCAAGCTATACATTTAAACAATATATATGATTTATGAACCGCTAATTCGGATATCTTTTCTGTGAATTATAATTTTGCGTATATTCAGAGGTTTCACAAAATTTGCAGATAACTACATTAATGAAGGCAAACAAAAAAATGACTTCTAATATGGACAATATTAATATTTCGATTTCGAGAATGACAACAAATATCGTTTATTTTGAATACGTTGGAAATTAGCAAAAGCCATTCGGCACAAACAAAAGAATGCCTTTACTCATCAGGATTGCGAAAAAAGTTGGATCTTTATGAAAATCCAAGATTAAGTCGCTTTAATCAAGTTTTTCAAAAATTACAATAGACAGTTATAAGCAGTTAAATAAGTTTCAAGTTTAGTGGCCAATTTTGCTTAACTTCGGATTTTTGTGTTAAAATTCCTAAGGGCTAAAAGAAGGCGGAGCACCTTTCAGGAAGTTTTTCTAAACAATTTTCTAAAGATAAATGTCCAGGATAACTTGTCCTCGTTTTGAAGGCTTGCCTTTATGATAAAGTCCTTAGGTTCAAGTGGTCTGATGATACATTAAAATGATTTTTTGGCATATGTTTACCAATGACTTGTTAAGACCGACTTTACTTATCTTCTCTTTGAGAGCCTTTACCATATTAAATCTTTTAAGTGGAAAATGAATATGCCATCAAATTAATCATAACGACACATCCATTTATTAAAACTCTATCCAAATCCAAGCACTAAGGTGCAGATCATCTACAATCATTAATTGCTTATAATAACAATTGGTCAACTTCAAAATACTAAAAAAAAAAATATCTCATTTTAAAAAATTTAACCGATAAGTTTTATTGTTCATGACTCAAGCTTCAAAACTTATCGGCTGGTTTTTTTCTTAAACAGAAAATTGGCTGAGCCTTAGCATTGGAAATTCCCAATTTTGTTATACACTTGAGAAATTGAGACTAACAATTTTTTTTGTAGAATATTTTCTATATACAACATACATTTGATTTATTTTAACATTAAAAGAAATCATTACCAAATTTGGACGTGAGATTCAAAATATTGTAACACGAAAATTATGTGTGGATCACATAATATTTCAAAATTTTAACTTTTGGGTATAGATGATCTGCACTGTATCTTAGATAAACAAGCATGATGGAATTTCTCTTTATCACATTTGTCCCATAGTGACGATCTTGAAATTATACTGTGTAACAAAATAATTT